GGTGAGGTGGCCAGGGCCAACCCTGACTTCCCTTCCTGCATCCTCTCCACCCCCAGCCCCACCTTCAGCCTGTTCTCCTGGCATACCTGCCTGCTGGGCGTGGCTTCCTGCCTGCTCATGATGTTCCTCATCAGCCCCGGGGCTGCTGGGGGCTCCCTGCTTCTCATGGGCCTGCTTTCTGCCCTACTCACAGCAAGAGGAGGCCCCAGCAGCTGGGGCTACGTCAGCCAGGCCTTGCTCTTCCACCAGGTTGGGGGGCTTTTGGGAAGGGTGGATGGGGGCAGTCTGGGAAAGTCCCCCACTCACACAAGCCCTCCTTCCCCACCACCTCATTCCTGTCCCCAGGTGCGTAAGTACCTGCTCCGACTGGATGTCCGGAAGGACCATGTAAAGTTCTGGCGGCCTCAGCTGCTGCTCCTGGTGGGGAACCCCCGGGGCGCCCTGCCTCTGCTGCGCTTGGCCAACCAGCTTAAGAAAGGGGGGCTGTATGTGCTGGGCCATGTCACCCTGGGAGACCTTGGTGAGTTCCCCTCCCTCTTGTTTCCATTCTTCCTGGTCTCCTCCATCTAGACAGGCCTTCTGCTTTTGAGAGGACACTCCAGCCAGCCATAGTTGCATGTGGGATCTGGACTCTAGGAAGGAGTAAATGAGCTTGCCCCACAGTGGCCACGTTCTTTCCTTGCCTTCTCTGTAGACGCACTGCCCTCGGACCCTGTGCAGCCACAGTATGGGGCATGGCTAAGCCTGGTGGACCAGGCCCAAGTGAAGGCCTTTGTGGACCTCACACTGTCGCCCTCTGTGCGCCAAGGGGCTCAGCATCTGCTTCGGATCTCGGGCCTAGGTGAGCTGCTTCTTCCTTTGGCCTACTCCTTGGCCCCTTTAAATCTCCACTCTCTTCCCCTAGAGAATAAGCCTCAGATAGCAAACTGCAGAAAGATAAGACAGGGCTCAAAGATAACAGCCACAGAGAGCATGTGATAAGGTCTATAGAGATCAGAGGCCTAGACCTGGAATGATGTTGTGTTCCTTTTTTTTTTTCCCCTGAACCAAAAACTGGCTTGGCCTTGGGAGTCTATTTCTAGGGACAATAGGAGAATTATTTGCATCTTGGACTGCTCTGTCAAAGCACATGGTTTCTCACCACCAGTTTAGAAAAAGCAAGACTGCTGGGCACTGGTGTGGCCAGCAAAGGTTTTGTGGAGAGATGGTAACGCAGCCAGGCCTGTGAGTGCTTGGGCAACAGGAGGGACCTAACATGGTCACTGACACCACAAAGGGTGCTGGAGGGTGTATGGGGCTGACACTTTTTTTTGTTTGTTTTTGCGGTACTGGGGATTGAACTCAGGGCTTTTGCACTGAGCTACATCTTTAGCCCTTTTATTATTTTTTTATTTTTGAGAAAGGGATCTTACTAAATCACTAAGAAGCCCAACCTGGGCTTGAATTTGGGATCCTCCTGTCTCAGTCTTCTAGAGTACTGGGATTAGAGGGCTGTGCCACTGGCTCTTGTGGAGCGCTGACACTTTTGGATGGAGTGGGACATTTCAAGCTTTGTGACTCTGAGCATTGGAGCCTCCAGCCTTGGCCCCAGGCTCCATCGAGTCCACGCTCAGCCTCTATCTCCTTGCTTAGTTCCAGGACAGTGACTGTCACCTGAGTGCTCACCCCCTCCTCCTGTTGGCTAAAGTTCAACATCGTTGGACATTGCCCTGCTCAGTGTGAATCTGAATCCTGTAAAAAAGGTTGGAGCAGGTGGAACTTGTTGAATTGGCAAGACTACCTGGAGTTCTGGCCCTTCCAGGCCTTCCTCCCCTTTGTGCCCAAAGACCACTGTGTTCAGAAAATGTATCCTATGGAAGGTGATTACAGCAAAAAAGAAAGCATTTTCTCTGCATAGTAAATTCCTGAGGCAGGCAGGGTTGAACTGTGCTTAGATTTTGAACATCTATTTCATGAGTCTTTTTTTTTTTTTTCATGATTCTTAAAAGAGGTCTGTGAGGGGCCGGGGATTTAGCTCAGTGGTTCTGCTGCCTGCCTCACAAGTGCAAGGACCTGAGTTTGATCCCCGTACCAAAAAAACAATAAAAAAAAGAGGTCTGCGAATCTCACTGTAAACTCAGCCTCCTTGAAAGGAAGGAGGAATTAACCTGATCCCACGTTGGCGATTTTTTCTCTCTTCCTACTGGGAATTGAACCCAGAGCCTAAAATCTTTGAGACAGGATCTTGCTAACTTGCCTAGGCTGGGCTTGAATTTGCAGTCCTCCTGCCTCAGCCTTTGAGAGTGCTGGGATTACATGTGTATGCTAACACATCTGGTTCACATTGGTGGTTTCAAAAATTAAAAATCAAAAGTTGTGGTCAGGGACTTGGGATGTTGAAGTTGGTCCACGCCCAGCTTAGTAGCTGAGAGAATGTCCTCTGGCATGGGTGGGATGTGCTCTTTTTTGCTAGGACCTGCCAGCCATGAGGCTTTGGGCCAGTGACTTCACTGCGTGGGGCCTCAGGCTCCTTATCTGTAAAAGAGGAAAATAAATAGCATCTATCTCATAGCGTTGCTTCATGGTTCGTAAGAGGTAAAATACAAAATGCTGTCTACAGGATGTGGCCCTTGGCAAGCCTGGGGATCTTCACTCTTCTGTCTCAGGGACCTGGCTGTGGGACACCATCCTCAGGGCTCTGCAGTAGTAGAAATAGACTGTTTTCTCAGCCTCCCCCAGAGAGGTCTAGGTTGCTGTTTCCTTCATGGTTGAACTTGAGAGTTTGAATGTTCAGATCCTCTGGTTTGCCTGTCAGAATTAAACCCACATTTCCCATCATGGAATAGGTGTGCTAATTGGGCACAATGGTGCACACCTGTAATCTCAGCACTCTGAGAGGCTGAGGCAGGAGGAGCTCAAGTTGAACCCAGCCTGGGCAGTTTATGGACTTTGTGAGGGAAAAATAAAAAACTGCAGCAGAAGTAGCTCAGTGGGAAGGCCCTGGGTTTAATCCCCACTATTGCAAACAAAACAAAACACTGCTATTTAAATTTTGTGGTAGATAGCAACCCACTCTCCAAGGATTGCAATTGCTCATTAGTTAAAAGAATCATAATGTGGGGGCCGAGGATTTAGATCAGTAGTTCCACCACCGCCTGCTTCGCAAGCACAAGGTCCTGAGTTCAATTTCCGGTACCAAAAAAAAAAAAAAGAAAAATCATAATGTGAACTTTGCCTATTTAAGTGAAGGAGATGAGTCATGGAGATAATCAAATAAACCCATGTGAAATTGTTTAAAAAAAAGTCATGCAAACCTGTGATGATACCATAAGTGTCCCCCAGCACAGTGGGGTGTCATTCCTTAGGGCTGACACAGTCACAGTGAGTACTAGTGGTATAAACACAGCCTGATTCCTCTCTCTGCCCCCAGGTGGTATGAAGCCCAACACGTTGGTCCTGGGTTTCTACGATGATGCTCCACCACAGGACCATTTCCTGACAGACCCAGCTTTCATGGAGCCTTCAGATGTCACCCAGGAGGGTGTGTCCCCGGCTCTGAGCACCCTATTCCCCCCACCCAGAGCACCTGGGAGCCCCCGGGCACTCAGTCCCCAGGACTATGTGGCCACCATGGCAGATGCCCTCAAGATGAACAAGAATGTGGTTCTGGCCCGGGCTTGTGGGGCTCTGCCCCCAGAGCGGCTGAGCCGGGGGTCCGGAACCACCTCACAACTGCATCACGTGGACGTGTGGCCCCTCAACCTGCTGCGGCCCCGGGGTGGGCCTGGCTACGTGGACGTCTGTGGCCTCTTCCTGCTGCAGATGGCAACCATCTTAGGCATGGTGCCTGCCTGGCACAGCGCCCGGCTTCGGATCTTCCTGTGCTTGGGGCCTCAAGAGGCGCCTGGGGCTGCTGAGGGGCGGCTTCGGGCACTGTTGAGCCAACTGAGGATCCGGGCTGAGGTGCAGGAGGTGGTGTGGGGTGAGGGCGCTGCAGCCGGGGAGCCGGGGGAGGAGGAGGAGGAGGAAGGGGACTTCGTGAACGGAGGGCGGGGCGACGCCGAGGCAGAGGCCCTGGCCTGCAGCGCCAACGCCCTAGTGCGGGCCCAGCAGGGCCGAGGCACTGGCGGAGGACCCGGGGGCCCTGAGGCCAGGGATGGCGATGAGGGGCCCACCACGGCCCTCACCTTCCTCTACTTGCCCCGGCCGCCTGCGGATCCTGCCCGCTACCCCCGCTACCTGGCGCTACTGGAGACTCTGAGCCGGGACCTGGGCCCCACGCTGCTCATTCATGGTGTCACCCCCGTCACCTGCACTGACCTCTGAGGCTCATTCTTCCATGGATGGGTAGAGAGGGGCCAGACTCATCCTGATCAATGGACCATCCGCTCCCACTGGCTCTGCCCTTGCCATGCGGAGCCAGGAGGCCGTTGTAAGGGGACCCTGAGTGGGGGCATCGCCCTTTAAGGGGTCCTCTGGTTGAGGGGCCCGGAGCACTTATGCTGGGTGACTGTCCCCAGTGCCCGTAGGGGACTGTATTGGAAGCCCTCCTCCCTGCCCGCCTCACTTCACTGGTGCCTTGACGGGAGGGGCTGGTCTCCGCGACTCCAGGCTACCTCAGTGTCCCCATCTTTGCCACAGATGCACAGGCCCCTCCCCTGGGGGTGTGTGTGTGTGATGGTTTTGTTTTATTTTTCTAACTGCTGACCGTGAATAAAACACCAAAACACTACAATCTGGCTTGAGTACTACTGGCTGCTAGGTGAGAGGGAGGCGGCGGCAGGAAGAGGCCTGCACGGGGGTGGAGACCCGGAGCCTCTGGCAGGGAGGCTGCCACGTGCAGAATTGGGGCGCCGGGCCTGGGGGGATCCTGGGACCTGGAGGCTGATGGGGTCCTATGCCTCCCACCCCAGCAGCTCACAGCCCCCCCCCCCCCCCCCGCTCCACCGAGATTCGGCTCCCCCACCAGAACCTTCCCCTCCCTACAGGAGGGGGCAGACTCTGGGAGGGACTGCAGATTAAGGCCTAGGGGGCCACGTGACCCTCCCCCAGGAATGCGGTGACGTCACCGGGGGCGTGGCCGTCCCCAAAATTGGGGAGGAAGGGAAAAAAAACTAGAAAAAGTTTCTTTCCTGGAGTCCCAAACGAGGTCTGGGACAGAAGGGGGGAGGGAGTCAAGGCCACAGGCCCAGGACTCTGTGGGTCCCTGACTGGTGTCTGGAGTCCTCCCGTTCCAGGCCATGTCAGGTCCCACCTGGCTCCCCCCGAAGCAGCCGGAGCCCGCCAGAGCCCCTCAGGGGAGACTACTCTCCCGAGGTGCCCCAGGGGCACCACCAGCCCACGGAGCAGGTAAAGTAGACACTCACCCCATTGGCCAAGGAACCAGCAGCCTCCGAGCTCACCTCTGACCTCAACCTCCTACCCCCGACGGCCTGCTTTCTGCTGCCCCTTCCCCAGGATGGCTGGGGTCACCGCAGGAGTGCCAAGCACCCTGGTGTCCCACTCCCTGGTTCCCAGGTGCACGGGAGGAGGGGAGCCAGAGAGAGGGCGGCTCTAGGAGGGCACCCCCTTTTCTCCATCTCCACCTTTGGTCTCTATTCTCTCCCCAGCACTCCAGCCCCATCCCAGGGTCAATTTTTTCCCCCTCCCATCTGAGCAGTGTTACCAGCCCCTAGGCGGACCGGAGGATCGGGGGCCGGCCTGGGTGGGGTCCCATGGACCACCCCAGCGTTCGCAGGTGAGAATTGCGAATTGGGATGTGATGTGGGGCGCCCTAGAGCCGAAGGTGTGTGGGACCCAGGGTTGGAGAGGAGACATTGTGATCTGTGTGTTTCCTGCTTCTGCTCCATCCCCAGGGGCTCACTCCAGACCGGGGGTGCCTGCGCCCAGCAAGTCTGGATGCTGAGATAGATTCGCTGACCAGCATGCTGGCTGAGCTGGACGGGGGTCGTGGTCATGCTCCACGGCGACCAGACCGACAGGTGACCGCCTGTCCTGTGCTTCTTACCCCCTCCTCTGTATTCTCAGTCCCAAGCCAACCCCATCTCCACTTGCTCTCTGGGTGAGGGGTGACCATGCCAGCATTGGGGAACAGGAGCTTACTGGAGGGTGGGGCCTTGCCAAAATCCAGTGCTTCCCTGGGGCCTGCATGTGGCATGGACTTGCACAAACATGGGAGCTGGAGTGAGTGGGCCCTGCTCACTGTTTCTGTACTTTTCCCTTCCCAGGGATATGAGCCCCCTCAGCTACCTGCCTATTGCCCAGGCTCCCTGAAGCCCAACGGAGGAGGGGGTGTTCCACCACCCCTGCTCCCAGCATCCCGCTATGGGGGCCCCACTCCGGCCTCCTATGCTACCGCCAGCACCCCAGCTGGACCTGCCTTCCCTGTGCAAGTAAAGGTGGCCCAGCCGGTGAGAGGCTGTGGGCCGCCCAGGCGGGGGGCCTCTCAGGCCTCAGGGCCTCTCCCAGGCCCCCACTTTCCTCTCCCAGGCCGAGGTGAAATCTGGGGAGGTGGCTATAGGAGCCCCCGTGAGCCAGGGCCAGGAGGTAAAGAAGAGGCTGCAGGAGGAAGAGGAGGCAGGCATGGACCCCAGGTAAGCCTGGGGCATCGGGGTTTGGGGTCTTCAGAGAAGTGGACAGTGATCAGGTGGGGTGGGTGCTGGAGGGGGTATTTAAGCTCCTGTTGTGGAGCAGTCAGAGTTAAGGGTTAGAATGTCCAGAGTGGAGGGCCTAGAGCTACCCACTGGCTCTTGGGCTGAGATGTTCTCAGATGCACTTTCTGGGTAGAAATGCCTGGTACTTTCAAGGATTTTAAAGCATTTGGAGCTAGATAGAAGTAACACCAAACTCCCGTGATTCCCGCCTGCAGGTTTCCCTGAGCCAGCCTCCAGAGGAAGAACTGGAGAGACTGACTAAGAAGTTGGTGCATGACATGAACCACCCACCCAGTGGGGAGTACTTTGGTGAGCTGATTCAGTGGGTGGAATGAGAATGGGGAGGGGCAGCAGATCGGGTGTCCTAGGTCTGTGTAGATTGATCGAATTCATCCCGTCCCCAGGCCGATGTGGCGGCTGCGGAGAAGATGTGGTTGGGGACGGGGCTGGGGTTGTGGCCCTCGATCGTGTCTTCCACGTTGGCTGCTTCGTGTGTTCCACATGCCGGACCCAGCTCCGGGGCCAGCATTTCTATGCTGTGGAGAGAAGGGCATATTGTGAGAGCTGCTATGTGGTGAGTGGCTGAGGCTGGGGGCACAGAGGGCTCCCATGGGGGGACTTGTTATTCAAGCCCAAAAGAGGAATGAGACTTGAAGCTGGAGACTTCAACTGATGTGCAAAAGAGGGAGGAATTAAGTGGCCAAGTACTGGCTGTTGTAGGGGAAGAATTACAGTCTAAGTGGACAGCTTTTTAAGAGTGAAGGGAATTGTGAAATTTCCACAATAACCCCATGAGGCAGAGATTACTACTGATTCATTTTCTAGGATGTGGACGCTCAGAGAGGTTAAATTCCTTGTCTAGGAAGCTGTAGTGCTGAGCCTCAGATCTGCTCAAATCTCCTTTTCACTGAATCATATGCAGAAGCTACATACACGGATGGCTGGTGTGGCAGGTGGCATCCATGCTGGTGTGGCGTCCCTCTGACCTTCTTGCCCTCTTGCCTAATAGGCCACCCTGGAGAAGTGCTCCACGTGCTCCCAACCCATCCTGGACCGGATCCTGCGGGCTATGGGGAAGGCCTACCACCCTGGTTGCTTCACCTGCGTGGTGTGCCACCGTGGCCTGGATGGTATCCCCTTCACTGTGGACGCTACCAGCCAGATCCACTGCATTGAGGACTTCCACAGGTCAGGCCTGGAACCTGGCTGCTTCAGGATATCTGACCTCTCTATCCCCTGGCCCCTCCTGTGTTTAAATCCCTGACCCTCTCTCTTCTTTTTGATACTACTCTTTTCCCCAAGACCCAAGAGCATACCTTGGTACCTCCTATGGTCTCCTGGATCCCACTTCTCTGGCTGCAACCCTGGGTCCTGACAGCCTCCTTGGTTCTCTTCTACCCCAGGAAGTTTGCCCCACGGTGCTCAGTATGTGGTGGGGCCATCATGCCTGAACCAGGTCAGGAGGAGACAGTGAGAATTGTTGCTCTGGATCGCAGTTTTCACATTGGCTGTTACAAATGTGAGGTAAAGGGGGCTGGGAAGCAGCAGGGGGTTCTGGGTTGGGGGGCGTCAAGGGAAGGAGACTTGGGGGCCTGGGCTGATGGAAAGCTGTTGTGCCTGCCAACAGGAATGTGGGCTGTTGCTGTCCTCGGAGGGTGAGTGTCAGGGGTGCTACCCACTGGATGGACACATCTTGTGCAAGGCCTGCAGTGCCTGGCGCATCCAGGAGCTCTCAGCCACTGTCACCACCGACTGCTGAGTCTTCTTAGAAGCACCTGCTGTGATCTCAGTCCCCATCCATCACCTTCCCTGATACCTGCCTTTACAACTTTGTCACCAAATGCTGTTTCTTGTCTCCAACCACGAAATAATAATCCCTCAACAGTTTACAAAACACTTTCAAGTCTACTGTCTCACCTGGTCTCCCAGCAGCCCAATACAAGCATGATTGTTCTCCCTGCTTATTTTACACATGATAATGCCAGAGCTGAGATGTGACTCCCCAATTCCATCGTTCTCAAGTGCTGGCAAGATCCGAACTTGGGTCTTCTTAGCTCTGGTCTTTTTTTTGTTTGGATGTTGTTTTTGTGCTAGAGATTGAATAGAGGGCCTGACATATGCTAGAGAAGCTCAAGTTCTACCTCTGAGCTACACCCCAGTCTTGTAATATTTTTTGATATACTAGTTTGTTGTAAAGATGCCCCTCATCAGTGCCGGGAAAAGGCTGCGTCATGCTCCAGGGAGGCAGCATTTCCCATCAAGCCTCAGATTCAATTCTTTGCAAAGTGACTTGGTGTTATCCCTGGGAATGGTGGTACGTTAAATGTGGGGCAGGTCAATTCCCCATACTGCTCAGGATTGTAACCTACGGCGAATGCCACCAAAGTAACTGGGGTTAAGACAGATTTGTCCGGTTTGCATGAAAACACGGCGCCTAAACAAACGGTTTTGTAGGTAACGCATACAGAAACACTAATAAAGACTAGTTCTCTGGTGGAAGCAGAAAATGGTGGGAGCAGATGCTTTAAAATGGTTGCTTCTATCCTCTATTCCCCAAACTCTGGCGCTCCCCAAGCCCATGCCCTGCGAGGGGAGGGGGCAAAACAATTTTCCGAGAGGTCAGGCAGCGCCCTGAGCACAGGGTCGGCGAAGGAAAACCACTGGACGCGAACTGGCTCAGACCCGGGAAACATTTGGAGGTGCGCTAACCATGACCCGAGCCCGGGTACGCGTTCCCTTAGATCCCAGAAGGGAAGCCGCCCTACAGAGGTTCAGGTTGGTCCAATCGGGCTTCCGTAGTTCCTCCCTCTCGCACAGTTCTCGTCCCGGAAAGCGCGCGAGAGTTGTGTCCCCGCCGCCCCTTCCCATCATCCCCTTGTTCATCCCGCCCTGCCTTTTTTGCTTTATTTCAAGCTCGCGACGTTTGGGGCATCGTTTGTGGTTAGGGACCGTGTTCGGCTAGTGGTACGGGCGCGCGTAAGGGACGCGCGATCTTTCATTCTCGGTTGTCCCATTGTCTTCCCTTCTCTTTGGTCCCTTACCCGAGAGCCCCGCGTCTCCCTTTCGGGCGTCCGGGTCGCCCGGAAAAGAAGCCCGACCGCGCTTGCGACCAACGGCTGCGGGCGCTTCCAGGTGGAGGAGGGGCAGTGAGAGGTGGGCAGGGCTTGAGGGACAGGCTCCTGCCCAGGGTCAGGGTCACGGGCTGGGCAGGGGGGACCCTTGGGACGAGTGAAAGTGTCGGAGCTCTGCTTGAGATGGCTGGGGCTGCAGAAGGTTGGCCCTGGCGGGAGGGAGGTGGGCGTGCTGTCTCTGCAGGGCCGTCTCTCACCTCGTCCTTGTCCAACACCCTGCCCACCCCTCCCCGGATCTCAGGCCTCCTCGGGCCGCGCCATGGGTGACAGCGATGACGAGTACGATCGAAGGCGCAGGGACAAGTTTAGAAGAGAGCGCAGCGACTATGACCGTTCTCGAGAAAGAGATGAAAGGCGGCGAGGGGATGATTGGAATGACCGGTAATTTTGTCTTCCTGTTTCATTCCTTTCCATTTTACAGTCACTCCTTTTTTACCTTATAGTTTTATTAGGATGAACTGTAGTGAAAAGCCTCCTTGGACCGTTTTCTGTGGTTCTGCCTATTTGCTCTTGGCCAAAGAACTAGATGTGGCTTAATTTTTGACAAGTCCTCAAGAGCACAGCAATAGTGCTCAGAATTTGTGTATGAAAAAGCACTACTTAACCATAAGGATGAAAAGTGTGTCTCAAAAAAAAAAGTGTATGTCTCCTTGGTTGTAAACTATACCTTAAGAAGGGTGGTTCGGAAGAATCCATAATACAGAATTGACCAGACTGGACAGGTTGTAGTACTGATTCCTGGAAAATAGGATTATATTTCTTTTTACAAATTTTTTTTTTGGTACTGGGGATCAAACTCAGGACCTTTTGCTTGTGAGGCAGGCATGGTGCCACTAAGCTAAATCCCTGGCCCTTTTTTTTTGTTTTTTTTTTGAGACGGGCTCACTATGTAGTTCAGGCTGGCCTTGAAATCACCATGATCCTCCTGCCTTAGCCTCCCAAATGCTGGGATTACAGATGTGCGCCATTACAACTGGCTGTCATTATCTTTCTTACAGTTATTTTTCAAAAAATCTCTGAAAGTTCTTTGAGTAATGCCATAGTTAATTAAGTTTGACTCAACTCGTGTAGTTTTCTAAGATGTCATTTTTTTTTTTTCTTTTTGGTTTTTTGAGACAGTCTTTCTAGGTAGTCCAGGTTGGCCTTGAACTTACTATGTATCCCAGGTTGGGCTCAAACTTGTGATCCTCCTGCCTCAGTCTCCTGAGTGCTGAGATCACAGGTGTGCTGGGATTGCAGGGCCATCAAAAGTATCTGTTCAGAGCCAGCCCATGGTGCACACCTGTAATCCCAACCACTTGGGAGGCTTGAGGCAGGAGGATCTCAAATTCCAGGTCAGCCTGGGCAACATAGGTCTCAACAAACGAAAATACACAGACACACTTTCAGTGTGTGAATGGAAGTGTCTCAGTTTGGAAATATTTTCGTGAGAGTTTGAAGTGACTTGTGATAAAAATCTATTTGTCCATTGTAGTTGGAAATCATGAGTTTAGTAAGCTGATCAATCTGCCAGTCAGTGCATCCTCTAATGGTGGAGGGTTTATAGAACTTTGTTTTCTTTGGTATTTTTTAAGAAAGAAGAAACTCAAGATTTTTTTCTGAATTCTAGGTAAGTTAAGATGTGGTTACTGCCTTTAGGAGCTTCCATTGTGGGGCTTGGCATGGGTTGGCAAATTGGCCTTGAGTGCATGCTGCAAATGTGTACATGGAAGAGATGGTAAAGAGGGTAGGTGTTGGGCCGGGGATTTAGCTCAGTGGTTTCACCGCCTGCTGTGCAAGCGCAAGGACCCGAGTTCGATCCCCGATACCAAAAAAAAAAAGATTACTTTGACAATGGAGAGGGGAGAAAGCAGAGGCAGGTAAACAACCAGTGCTGGGGAAGTGACAGGGACTTGGATCAAGTCTGGAGATAGCAAAGGCAGGATAGTTTTGACAGGCTGTAGGTGGAAGATTAGCAAGACAGTGCCTTTGGTGGTGAGGACAGTGCTTGATATCTGAACAGAACTTGAGACCCGCAGTGATAGGAATGATAGGCTCATTTCTGATGTGATGGATGAATTTGAGGTAGCTGACTTCTGGTAGGGGATTTCTTTTTTCTTTCCAATGCTGGTGCTGGAACCCAGGCCCTCATACATGCCAGGCAAGTGCCCCGCCACTGAGCCACATCCCCAACCCACTAGCAGAGGATTCTTCAGTGGGTCTGGAGCTTGGAACAGAGGCCAGGCTGGTGGAAGGAAGAGTCAGAGCCATCAGTTTGGCGGTGGTGGCTGAAGTGATGGCATTAGACAAGAGTCTCTAAGAGTGTAGCTTTGCAGTTTTAGGCTTCTAGTGTGGCGTGTCAGTATGGATAGAAGGCACCTGCCCAGGAGGGTGGCCTTGGCCCGTCCAGCTTCACCTGTAATGGCTGGTGCTGGTTCTCGCCTCCAGGGAGTGGGACCGTGGCCGCGAGCGCCGCAGTCGGGGTGAATATCGTGACTATGACCGGAATCGACGGGAGCGCTTCTCTCCTCCCCGCCACGAGCTCAGCCCCCCACAGAAGCGCATGAGACGAGACTGGTGAGATGGCGTCAGTTTCTCTTTAGCCTCAGCTGTCTGCCATCACCTCTGCTGAAAGCTTGTTTTCTGTTCTCAGACCACCCCTACCCCATTGTTTCTTTGTTCCTTCAAGCCCTTGGCTGAGAAACCACATTCCGTGTGTGTGCCTTCCTCTTGCTCTTCTTCGTGCTCTGGAGAGATGGTTCTGGTTTCTTCTCTGACCTTTGTGTCCCCGCCCTCAGGGATGAGCACAGCTCTGACCCATACCACAGTGGCTATGAGATGCCCTATGCTGGGGGGGGTGGGGGCCCAACTTATGGCCCCCCTCAGCCCTGGGGCCACCCAGACGTCCACATCATGCAGCACCATGTACTGCCTATCCAGGCCAGGTAAAGACCTAGGGTTCTGGGGTTCTTGGGAGAAGGGAACTGGCAGGCTTGGGGCATGGGTTGGGGTTGATGAGGACCAGAGCTGAGCCGGGCAGTGGATTAGATACCCAGGAATGCTTTGTGCTTGGGGGTGGCATCCATCGTGGGCACAGGAAGGGGGCAGCTGTCCACCTTGTCCCCCTGCGACCCTACCCCCCCATAC